AAATACTGGATGAAAGTTCGGGTCCCAAGGGAACTACCTTCTTCCCCCCAATACAGCGTAGGGTCATTATAGCTGTATCTGGGGCATCTTTCAGTCTAAATACAGCGATAATGACCGTATGTTGTATTGGGGGGGGGAGAAGAAGGTAGTTGAATGGATGTCTAAATTGCCTGGGGCCGGTGGGTCCCACAAATGAATTTCTAAATTTCCCGGGGCCGGTAAGTTCCAGGATGATATCTCAAGGCCATCGCCCATTGGCAGGACCTTGGCTGATGTTGTTGGCTGCTATGCAGCCACAATATTGGCCATAAGACACTGCCATGTGGGGTTGGGGGGGGGTAGGGGGAGGTGCAGTGACTGGCCATTGCTCGGCGCTAGCACCGCCGATTTCCCCCATCGGCAATGCCTGCCCACCCCTCGTCACCGTGACGAGGGACTGGTACAGCCTTGCCCTCGCACCACAGCTGTGGTGCCAACCTACCCTGTGGGCTGGGGAGGGATCCGGGTTGGTTGGTGTTCCCCCATACTATATATAGAATAGTGAGAGTATGAGATAGATGCGTACTATCAAGAAAAATGAGATAGATGAGAGAAGAATATAGCTTACCTTTAAAAAAATAATAATAATAATAAAAAATAAAGAGGAATAACAGGAAAAAGAAAGAAAAGAAAAAACTTCGAAAAGACTCTGAAAAGGCAGACATATTTAAGGTGAAAAAAAAAAAAAAAAAAAGACAAGAAAGAAAGGTTGGGACTTGATGGCAACAGTGGAAGGATAGCAGGGCACAAGGGATGGGTAGGGTAGGTGGCCTATCCTGTCAGGACAACCATTGACTGCCGCTGCCAGCAATCACTGCGGGTCTAGTGCTTTTTTTTTTTTTTTTTTTTTTTTTTTTTTTTTTTTTGCCCTCTGTTCTCCAGGGGACGGGCATGTGGGGACGGAGGTTTCGATGATCAGAGGAAATCGGTTCTTATTTAAGGAGAAAAAAAAAAAAAAAAAAAAAAAGAGAGAGAGAGAGAACAGAACAGGATCACTTGCCTCGTTTTTCTGTCATCATTAACTTACGATTTTGGCTCAGCAGACTGTATCCGCTGTAACTCAGAGGACAACTGGATGTCTATTTGGATAAAATCCTGGATAAAATCCTGGATGTCTATTTTTGGGTACATACATAAAATACAGTCTGTTGAGACTGTCGTCTAAGTACCCAAAAATATTCAGCCAAGAATTTACCCAAATAGACATTTAGGATTTTTTATTATTATTTTTTTTTACAAATAAAGCACCCATTTTACAGTATTACCAAAAGAAACGGAGGCCGGGAATTTTTTTTTTTTTTACAAACAACCCGGAAGATGAACTCTGAGACCATCATTACCAAGTTTAGATGCACGCGTCCGGGTATGCGTCCAGATGCAGATGTGGCCAAATCCAGACCGCTGCTCTGAATTTATTCTTCCGACAACAGTTATGACTCAAGTCTTCCATGATTGGAGGAAATTATCTTCCTGATGAATTTCGAATTGTGTCCTCCACAACTGTCAGCAATGAGTGACTAGATTTAAAAAAAAAATTAAAAAAAAATCCTGACGAATGTCGAATTGTGTTGTCCTCGATTCCCTCCCCCCCCCCCCCCCCAAAAAAAAAAAAAAAAAAAAAAAAGTATACTCGAAAACTGTCAGCAAGTCAGGAGCGAATACACACAATACGATTCAAAGAGAGACTAGATTTCTGGATTTAGTTGTGAGTCAGAAATGAAATTAAAAAAAAAAAAAAAAGGGACTGCGCTTCGCGTTGCTGCGTTTCACCAGTACCTACCGTCCGATTAATCAATCATTGTACCCCTTTTTCTTTAATTTGGACCCTTTTTTTTTTTGTGTGTGTGTGTGTATCATCCTTAATTGCGCAGGGGCCCATCCTAATTTATTACTTTATTA